ATGGAACTATAAGCCAACAAGGTTTAAATAATATAGAACATTCCATCCCAAACTAGTACAATACACATTCTACTCCAGCACACAGGGATCCTTCTCCATGACATTTTAAGTCAAAAAGCAAGTCCAGATAAATTTTAAAACATTGCATTAAAGTATTTTCTTTGACCAACACTAAAAGAAGCTAGAATAAGACACACCATACACACACAAAAAGAAATTAAAATAATAAAACCACGGCCCTACCAACACATTCAGTGAGAAATCCTATTTTTAGCAGAGAAAAATTAAAATCAGAGCACAACATTCCCTAACTTACAGCGTGGATGAAGACAGTACTCAGAAACTTACCGCAATATATGCCTATATATATAAAGAATGATCTCAAATTAAATCTAACTCAATGTCAGGATCTCGGGAGGAAAAAAGAGCAAGTAAAGCCTCAATCTACTGGAATAAAAGAAGTAACAAAGATCAGAGCAGAAATAATTAACACTGAAAAGAGAAAAACATACAGTCAATAAAACCAGTTCTTTGAAAAGTTCAGTACGATTTTCAAATCTTTAGCAAGGATGACAAACAAGAGAAAAAAATACAAGTGGAGGAAGGGCTGTTACAATTGGCTTGAGAGAAATAAAAAGAAATGGCAGACTGTTATTGACATCGGGGGCTGTGGTAGCCTAGTGGGTAGGGAACTGCACTGCTAACCCAAAATCAGGCAGTTTGAAACCACCATCTGCTCTCTGGGAGAAAATATGGGTACTCTCTTCCCATGTGATTTACAGCCTCTTAAAAACCCACTGGAAATTAATGGACATTAGAATTACAGGGAGGAAATAGGAAAAATGTGATTGCCTTATGGATATTGTACTAAATGTTATAAAACAAAACATGTGAATGATTGAAGAAAAACCAACATATTCTGTAAACCTATGTGTAAATAACAATAAAAAAATATTAAATGAAAAGAAAAAAAAACTCACTGGAGACGCAGCTATGAGGGTGTTCTGACTCAAAAACTATAAACAACATCATTCTGATCAGTGGCATGACAACAAAATGGACAACCTGGACGAAATGAACCAATTCTTAGACACATACAACCTACCCAAAGTGACTCAAGGAAAGGAAAAATCTCAATAGACTTGCAACAAGTGAAAACAAACAGTGATCAAACACTTTCCAACAGCAAAAATAGTCCTGGACCAAATGGTTTCACTGGGTTAATTCTATTAAATATCTAGAGAAGAACACACACTAATACTGTTTTCTTTCAAATGGCGGAAGAGCAAGGAGTCCTTTAATTCATTCCACGAAGCTAAGAACTCCAACACTCAAAGACACCAAAGAGAACATTATGTCTTCATTAATACGATGCAAAAATGTAAGAGTCATACAGCATGACCAAAAGAGGCATCTTCAAATAGGTGCTCAAAAAAACTTCAAACTTGAATGTTTAGATTTAAAGTTCAAGAAGGTGAAATAAGCACATATATTGGAATTAATTCTACACAGTGATATCAAACTAATACCTAGAGTTAAGTCAAGACAATCAAGTTAATTTGATTACTTAAGCCTTAACTTTATATAGCATATACCACAGCTATTATAAAACTGAAAGCAAAATAAAATGAGTCTCAACTGATTACTGTGCATAAAATGCAAAATCAGAAAGCCAAAATGTTCTTTTCAAATGTCAACTTAAAACAATAAAGATAGGAAGTGGTCTTAGCTGAAAGGAAGTCAGAACTCACTGTGTGATTCTCACTTTTTGTAACAAGAAAAAGGCTTACATCTAATTTTTAAACACAGCTATTTTTAAACACAGCCCACAGAGGGTCTTGGTCGACTCGACAGCACCTAACAACAACAATAACAACAATTTATCTTAGAGAAAAGAAAGTATGTTCCTAAAACGATACACACACAAATAATTCCAACTCATAGCAACCCTATGAATGAAAGACCTGAACACCTGTATAACTTTCATCATTTCTCCAAGTCCGTAAAGTTTCCAGAAGCAAGCTATTTCAGGAAGTGGATATCTTTTAAATTAAATCAATGGATAGAAATGCAGTCCATACAGCAAAAGACATTTCACAAGTTGGCAGTGCAAATGTTAATCTAAGGTACAACCAATGGCTCTGTATGCAAAGTAAACAAGTGTCATTAAATTTGTATTAAGAAAAAGTTTCAATAAAGAAAATTCTAGGCTTCAGCAGCTTCATTTGTAAATACTTTCAAATACGTGAAAGGAAAAAAAAATCAATTAATACACAATGTCTTCCAGGAATGAGAAAATGAAGAAGTATATGCCAGCATAATCTCTCAAAAGGTGGACTCATCCACTCATTCAACACACACCTTGCTTA